AGTGCGGCGCTCCCTCAGCACTGACCCTCCGACAGTGCCCACTCCCTTAGCACTGACACTTCAACAGTGTGACACTCCCTCAGCACTGACCCTCCGACAGTATGGCACTCCCTCAGCTCTGACCCTCTGACAGTGCGGCGCTTCCTCAGCACTGACCCTCTGACAGTGCGGCACTCCCTCAGCACTGACCCTCCGACAGTGCGGCACTCCCTCAGCACTGACCCTCCGACAGTGCGGCGCTCCCTCAGCACTGACCCTCCGACAGTGCCCACTCCCTTAGCACTGACACTTCAACAGTGTGACACTCCCTCAGCACTGACCCTCCGACAGTATGGCACTCCCTCAGCTCTGACCCTCTGACAGTGCGGCGCTCCCTCAGCACTGACCCTCTGACAGTGCTGCACTCCCTCAGCGCTGACCCTCAGGACCATATTGAAGTATGATTTTAGATTTTTGTTTCCAGGGTGTTCCTGGCGTGTTACCCTTTGACCTCCCACCGACCGCTCTTTGCTGGATGGATGATGTCAGTGTTATCAGCTGAGCTGTTATCATGCGCTCTCCTCTGGATATCATTCAAATGTTTAAATTTACTTTTCATTTCTTTACAGAAAATCATTTTACCCAACTGGAAAGCAGGAATAAACAGAACAAATTCAGGAGAAAATTAACCAGTTTATAAAACCCCTGGTAAGACATTTTTGATGATTATATTTTCTAGCTGGCTGTCAGTGTAGAAACATCTCCAGGATTGGCATTTGTCTCCGAGTAAACTCAACGTAACTTGCTCCTTATTAATTTCTTCATCGTCTTGTACACTGATTCAGAGGTGAATGTGGCTATGAGCATTTGATCTTTCTGACCAAGATATGAAATGAATCATCAGAAGCTGAAGCAAGTTGAGAGGTTCCTGTTTGGTTGATGAACATGTGGAATGCTGTAGGAGGGAGAATTCAAGGCATCAGTGAGTCTTTGTCCTGCCTAACCTGTCTGCATCCTTCGATATGATTGACCCTGTCAGTGTGTTGTCATCATGTCGCTGCATAATAATCCAGAGGCCAGTGCAGGTGCCCTGGGGATGTGGGATCAAATCCCACCACACACTTGGTGGAATTTCACCTGATGAAGGAAATCTGTTCCTGAAAGTGTACCTCAGTCATGGTGATCATGAAGCTATCACCAATTAACATAAAAACCCATCTGCTTCTCTTCCTTTTGGAAGGAAATCTTCTGGCCTATGTGTGAATCCAGACTCTCAGCTAACATCTGGACTGGCCCCGCAAGTTATTCTGTTCATGGGTAATTAGGGATGGGCAACAAATATGGCATTGCCAGAATGAAATTGCTGGTGGAACTACATCACCTGCCTCCTTTCTTATCTGTCATACCTTTCACTGTTTTGTCTGTTTGTCCCCACAGGATCTATGCTCAGCCACCTCTTATTTCCCTTATCTATGCATTATAGCTCAGTAAAGTTACTATAGACCCACTGTCTCAGAGAGAGATGACTGATGGTTGTTTAACCTGAAGGTCATCAAACCTCAGGCAAGAGGTCTAGAAGGAGAGTCCTTCATGGTAACCTCAGCCAGAGCAGGAATTGAACCCATGCTGTGGGTGTCCCTGCACACCACAAGCCATGTGTCCAACCAGCTGAGCTAACCAATTGCAACACAATGGTGTCTTTAAAAGAACACTTAGGTGTCTCATGTATACAGACAAATCCCCAACTCCAGCTCACCCCCAGCTCCCTCCGTTCTCTGTTCAGTTATGAACCTGCCTTTCCAACAGCTGCTGCTAGTGAAAGTAATTTCCTCCAATTACATACGGGGAAGAGAGAAGCTGCTGTTTTTGTTCCTCAGCACAAACGCTGCTTCCTCACCAAGGATCCAGCCCCTCACCCTGTCTCAGGCTGAATCAGACTGTGTGGGACCCTCTCATGGTCTCCCCCTCTCCATAACCTCCTCCGGCTTTACAACCAACTGTGCCTAACTCTGACGGTATTGCTCCTACTTTCAGTCAGAAGGTCAAAGGTATGGGGTTTAAAGATCAAGGTCCAATGTGTAAATTCCCTCATGACCCTGGGCCCCAACAGTATGCTTATTATCGCTTTGGGTCTTCTCCGTTTTTTTGTTGCAACATATTGTTCTGTGTAGTTTGGTGAGGAGAATGCAGACCTGATTTTTGATGAATACTTTGAGGATGTGAATGACTCTGACACACTGAAAGAGTGGTACCTCGACCTGTTTGGTGATGTGTTCATAACTATTCCAAATCTGAGAGCTGCTCAGTATTACAAAGGTGAGTGGATCTGTCAACCTCAGGAAATTACTGAGGCCTCAGTTAATATCAGTGCAGAGAATGCAAGACCTTCAATGTATACGCTTTATCAGGATCAAGAATACTGTACAATGGGAGAGAGTCCATAATGTATTGTAGGCATCTCTGTTGATTAGAGAGCCAGTTATTGTATCGTTACTGAGTAGATATGGATTGAGAGCACCGCTCCATGAGAACAGAGCAAGGTGATGAGATGGGCCTCCATGAATTATCACAATGGTACTGAACAGGAAGGGATTTGGGTCCATCAGGATTGTATACAGTGGGAGTGAACGG